TTTTTTTTATTTTGTTTTTGTATGAATTCCATAATTTCCAATTGCATGGGCAATGTTCCCTTACGGACGCCAGAAACTAGGTGTGCCAGTGTCAAACTGAGCAAAAGCTTGTGCCACCAGAAGGCATCGGCTACAACTGAATTTCTAATTTTGTGGTTTGGGAAAACTTCTGTCTTTCCCAGGTGCCAACGGCTCTGAGGCGATTTCAGCGAAGAGCCAGGAATGCTCTGCTGAGCGAGTCATGGTGGAGGAAAAAAAAAAAAAAAAAAAAAAAGAAAACTAAAACTAAAACGGTCACGGCGAGATGCATATTCAAATAAACTTCACTCTTGGCCTGCGCACACAAGCCATGTTGTCACCAGCTGGCAGCGCCTCTCACCGCCCCTTCAAATGCTGAGCCACTTTTGATTAACGTCTCTTCGGTTAATCATGCGCGTTGGCTGTGCCAAATTGGACAAGATGCATATGGCTTACATTTCCCTCAGAATCTCTCTAATTTTAAAACAAGACCAAAGCGTTGGGAGTCTCATTTTACCCAACATACCCATTCCTTAAGTCTGCTTTTGTCTGGTGTCCATACATAGAACGGGGAGGGTGGCGGGGGTAGGCACGCTGCCATCCTGAGAGTCCTTGAATGAAAAGCGTATCACTGCCAGATGCACCCAGCTGCATAAATGTTCTTTCTTTCTTTCTTTTTTTTTTTTTTTTTACAGCTTGTGTACATAATACGGCCAGTGTAAGAGATTGCGAGGCTCTGGGAAAGGCTGGAAAAATCCTGAAAATTGAATCAAAGTGGAAAATCTATTTTTCAACTGGACCTCCTCTTTTTCTATCTGCCTTTTCTGCTTCCGCTGGCCTCGTTTGCTTTCTGAGGTTCCTCTGAGCGACTCTTGCTCCCGCCGAAGGGTTCGAGTGTATCGTGTGTCCCAATTCTCCGGTGCGGACTTGAACCCTTGATCAAGTCCGCATCCAGGTGAACTTCGGTAAAGTGTATCACCCACAATTCATTGCTGCATGTGACGTTTTGAATGAAAAGGTGAAAATATGGCAATGTTGAAAAAAAAAAGCGTTGAAGTGTTGAAATACTTTTTGTTTCACTCTACTGTACGAATATCAATGATATTGATTTTAGCTTTGTGTTCAACAGGTCACAACAAAACACATTTTAACAACCAAATATATCTCACAAAATGATTGGGACGCAGAAATACATATGCCGGACGTTTAAAATTAGATTAAACTTGTACGCAAATAAAGTAATAGTTTAGGACTTTATTTTGGTAATATTCTGACTTTATTCTCGTAATATTACGACTTCATTCTCTATATACTACAACTTTATTCTTGTAATTGAATACTTTTTTCTCATACAAGTTTATTTTCGCAATATTATGACTTTATTTTCATAATTCTACGACTTTGTTCTCGTAATTTTATTACTTTNTTCTNTTAATTTTATTCTGTNGTTTTTTATTAGTATGGCCCTTAACACTCGTTCCCGCCATTTTGGATGTCGCAGTTACAACGCAGAGGCGCAAGTCGATGACGTAACCCGTACTGGTCCAATTCTCCAGTTTTCACACTCCTGTAACCAGTGCTCTCTAACCCTTATGTGGACTTCCACTGAGTACACACTTCATAGAGGGGTGTAGTGCGAGTATTGGGACCGGCGGCTGGCCGTACAGTAAATCTGTCCTCCTCCTCTACCAGCTCTCTTCTCCCTGCATAGCTTTGGAGGCGGCGCTGTGAGGCAGCTGGAATATTTGTCATAGGTCCAGAGGTGCAAAGACATTAGACAGCACTTTGTCACCAGGGTAAAGAATTCACACCATTTCGTCGTGTCCAAGTCAGCTCCTTAACCAATGAGTGGCCTGGCTTCTGTCAGCTGCGGCTCAGTTGACACCGGGGGCTAAAAAAAGATGAAGGATGTGCGCTGCTACCCTAACAACACGCACTCTCACAAAGAAAGAACTGACAGCGAGCCACCGCCAAAGCCCTCCTCGACTCAATGCTCTCTCACCAAATTCACTCCGTTCAGATGTAGTTTAGTGGCGCAGAATGACTGTCGACTCGTCAGGGTTTGCTGTCCCCCACAGACAGACAGGCTTGAACACCAAGAAGCGCCGCCGCCACCTCCCAAATCACCAGGCCTCAGCAAAAAGGAGCCCGGCAATCCAAATGCGGTTCATGGCCGGGGCCTCCCGCCTCATTAGCAATTTCCATTTCAAAACAGCTTTCAAATGAGAACTAATGCATTAAGTCTCGCTGGGGGGAAAGAAGTCAAGGGAGCCACTATACGGTGGCTCAGAAAGGCTTTCATACATGTTTTATCAGTCGGGGGAGGACAGAGAAAAGAAGCTTGGACCGAACCATTCATTTCTTGCCCATCCTATTAGCTTGGCACTGTGTTATTAGCTGCCATTGTGCTCCGTAAGAAGTCCCTCTGGCCTGTTCTACTGCTCGTTGAATCTGGGGTGCAGCTCTGTGCCAAGCGTTTTTTTTTTTTTTTTTGGAGCCATTTTATACCATGAAAATTCAATCCCAAACCCTCAGCATCGAGGTTTCTCTCAGATAAATGGAAAAAAAAAAGGATTACTGGAACAATAAGACAACGTCTTACCTCAAATGCCGCTGTATCCTATTAATTGGGATTATGAGGAAAAACAAAAAAATGTCCAAAAAGAGCGTTCTCTCTATCTCGCAAAGGCGCTGTAACAAGAAATCCTGTTATAACGACAATCAACGTCAATGAGAAATGAGGAAATAAAAAAAAGAAAAATTATGTACAGTCCTGGTAAGAGACAAAAATAATCATCTTAAAAAAAATCGCTCCCACACATGAGTAATGACTAAAAAGAAAGTGACAACTGCAGACGCTTTGATAATCCACCTTAGGTTGGATGTGTTAGGCGAGGTGTCAATCGTTTCCCATCTGATGATAGACTGTGTGCTGAAATAAATTGACCTTGCCAGACGATGAGTGAAATTGATGGAGCTTTTCATCTCTGGAGGGCCGCAGCGGTAAAAACGGCTGAAACACAAGACAGGCTGATCGAGTGCGTTTCTGTACACCGAAGCTCACCTGGTAAACACTTTGTTCCAGAAAAAAAAAATACATACATCACCACACCGTGACAAGAGGGATATGAATCAGGGCCTCACAAAAGTATCCACTTTGAACTTGTTCAAATTCTGCAACAATCGTAAATTTCAGGGCACTTCATAACCAGAGGTGGAAAAATGCGTCTGTGAAGTTGAAACAAAATGACTTAAATGCATGCCACACTTATCTGAAAAGTGTGGCATGCATTTGTATTTTTTGATACCAGCTTGCCTGTTCTAAATTATAAGAAGCATGAAAAAACTAAATTATAAACAATATATCAGTTTTCTTACACTTTACGGTCATATTCAATAAATTAGAATATGTGTCCTGTTGAGTTGTGTTTGTCAGATTAAAAGTACCTTTTGAAAACAACCTTTAAGCAGGTATCTTAATTAAGCAAACATGTCTGTTTTAAAAAAACATCTCAAAATGCACCTTCTCAGAACAGCTTCTAAAGTACAAATAATGTCCTGTTTTATGCTTATTGTGTTTTTATGCCCACTGCTATGTATTAAAGTGTTTTGTTTTTTGCGCTCTCTTTGTAGTTTTGTTTGATTCCCATAAAGTGTCAGAGTTCTTAGAAAAGTGGCACATAAAAATGTATCAGTGTTTTTTTTTTATTTTTATTTTTTATTGGTCTGGTGTTATACTTTAATCTTATATTTTGTTTTTTTTAATGATTGCTAGCAGAAAATCATCATGATTAAGAGAAATAAAGGTGTTAAAACATCAGTATTAGTCTGATTAATCTTTACAATGTGTTCCGCTTGGTGATGGAGTTACTGAAATAAATAGATATTTCTAGAACATCCTAACTCAATGAATGAGTCTGTACAGCTGGATGCTGTGGCCGTAATGTAACAAAGCATGCGAATATTTTTGTGAGACACAGTCCTTGTTGTTTTTTGTCATCCTGGGTCGAAGAACACTCAGTGCTAATCGAGGCCGGCCTCTGACAGATGCTACCCACATGAGGAATATATGGTTCAATTACCAGGAGTCTAAATTGAAAGTGATAGTGATTTAAGCCTTCCCAATACACCGGCCAGATTCTGGCAAACAGTCTTTTCAAGGAGCCATTTTGAAAAAAAAAAAAAAAAAAAAAACCCTGTTGGAGTGTGCGAGACACAGGAGCGCAATTGATTTTCAATAACATCCCCTAATGACCTGGCCACGGTTTGATCCACGCTGTCATTAAGGGGCTGCTACCATGGCACAGGATCGTGAGGAGCAGAGCGCAGGGCGGCGAGATGAGTAGTCGAAGCATTATCAGGATGAATTGGCCGTCTCCAGACAGGCGGCGAGCGCAGCCGCTGCCCTGTCGATAACAGGACGGGGGCACCTCAGGACTCCCTCTGCGGCCCACTCCGGAGAGCCTTCCGGCCTCATTAGAAAAGCAGATGAGTGGCACGCACGAGGAAGGGGGGAGCTTCTTCCCCGCCATCCGATAGCCTTCCTCCCAGGCGTTGCTCCCCGTAATGAGTCCAGACCGCAGGTCAATATGCCGCTGGGCTGCCAGTCAATACCGGTTACCTGCAACACAAACACTCAAAACCCGCTTTCATACAAAATCAATGTTCTATTAGTCCTCCCTGTATTGCCTTGGCCCAATCCCATTGATTCCACCACGAAGAGCTCTGCAGCCCATGTATGACAGATTATGGTCAAATGATCTGATGGCCGGGGCTATACTTGGCTGGCCCAGCTCAGCTGACTTTATGATTTCATAGTAATAGCTAGATATAAAATGAGAAAACACTGAATTGTGAGAAAACGGAGGCAGAAGAGTTATCGGCGAAGCCATCAATCTCATCGTGAAATACCACTCGGCAGCTTTGACCGGCAGACGGATTCGCTACTCATTTTTACAGCGGGACGAAAGGTAGACCGGAAGTGTTTGACATTAGGTCCAAACTTTATTCCGTACATTTTAAACCATGAATGTTCATTTTTCTTTTTTTTTTTCCACGCCTAAAACTCTACTGTTTTTGTATACAAGAGTCTAAGAAAAACAACTGCACAACACCACAAGGTTGACAGATAAAGTCCTTCTGATGTCCACCCAACAGTGTCCGTTTTCTGTTTGGAGCTGGTCCAGTTTCTGTCTTGGAAGTCTTTGAATAATCCAGATGATTTTCATTGGTACATATGAACATGTGCTAAATCCAAGTTTCTCTCAGCTTCTCCAGTATTGTCAGTTTGTTCCAGTAGATTTCGTTTTGTTAGGGTGTTGTGTGCTGCTTTGCATAGATTGCAGACGATCCATCTAGGCTTCCGTACAACACCCTCCCTTTGTGACTTCCATCCGTTGGCTGGCTGTTTGACACCATGATTTTCAACAGGCAGGTGATTCCACGTTGTTTCGTTTAATTTTGTTTTTCTAGAAATGGTTAAAAAGACTAATAAATTTACAACGCAATCTTGCAGCAAAGAATATTAACAGGTTATTTACATCAGTTTTCTTTACAGAGATTGAACAAACATTATATATAATTATATATATTTATATATATATTTATATATTTATCTGCATATCTCAAAGGCAAACCAAATAAACAAAATAAATTGATAATGTAGCAATGTACATTGTCATCATTGAGGATATCCAGGTACCATGAGGTTAAATTACTGATGGTTGAATCCAAAATCAAGTCTTTACATTATCATAAAGGATATGTCTCACAATAGACTGGGATAAATATTGTAAAAGGCAAGACTAATGCACAAAGTACATAAAATTCATAGAAATCATATCTATACATGGAACAAAGATAGGAAATGTACAAACTTATTTAGGACCTTTCCTTTCGGCACAAAGCAGAAATAAGGTATTGGATTAATATATTAATAATTATCAAATATTTAAGTCGGAAATAAACATCCACACGTTTGTGTCATCTTTACCGACATTATTGAACATCCAGTCCACTAAAAATAGCCATGGCATGTGCTTAATTAGCCTTACACACCTTTACTTTGTACAATCATACCCTTTCCCTTGGGGAGGTTCGCTCCTCTCTGGTAAAGGAGCAGTGCATCTTTGATCATGGTATTCCACAAAACAGAAGCGAGGCTTGCCGAGTTTCCAGAAACTACCGAGCCTCTACTTCTTTGGGGTTGCTAGACGGGGAATAGTCCCTCGGGTCCTGGGTGGTGGTGAGGGGGGTAGTCCTCCTGGGTGAGGCTGGCCGGGCACTGCCAGCTGGCACAAGAGGCGGGGGCGCGCTTAACGCGGCGGTAGGGGGCGTTCTGTTCAGAGGACCGTTGTGTCCTGTAGAGGGGCTAAGTCTTGGGTATGGCATGCCTCCTAAGTGTGGCATAAAGGGGGGCATGTGGGGTAGATGGCCCTCCATCGGCGACTGGTGTAGCTGATGGAGGCGGGCCCTGTCAAGCTCCTCCCTCAGGTGGAGGCGCTCTCGTTCCTCCGCCTGTTGTCGCATCCTCTCGTGCTCCCTGCGCACCTCCAGGAGGTGCTCGTGGTGAGAATAGTCGTGAGCCTCCCGTTCGCGGTAGGCGCGCTCCTGCTCGTACACGCTGGGGAAGCGGTGTCCTTGCTCGGCCCTGAGCTGGAAGTCCATGCGCCGCTGCAGGTCCAGGCTGCGGTAGGCCTCTCGAAGCGGGTCCCAGGGGAAGGCGGTGTGTGGCACGCGCTCCCGTCCTGCCAGCGGGCTCACCCCCATGAAGGGAGCCATACGGGCTCTGTCCAGTACGTTGAGGCTGCCCATCTGAGGCATGGCACTCATGGATAGAGGAAGAGAGTGTGACATGGGGACACCGTGTAGGCCCGGTGTCGGGATGTCACTACCACGGGGCGAGGGAAGAGGAGGCTGCTGTGACAACGGTGGGTGGTGGTGGTGAGGGTTTCCTGGTTGGCTGACAGGTACAGGGAGGATCTGTACTGCAGGTTGGGGCGCTGGCTCTGAACTCACCACCATGACCTCTTGCTCCTCCTTTCTCTCCTCCTTAATCTTCATGTCATTTTTCACTTTGTGGAGGAGCTCTGCAGACGGAGGCTCCTTTCTCTCTATGTCCTTGATCGCAGACGGGAGCCCACCGGCTAGCTTCATGCTTTGCTCATTGATCATGGCCTTGGAGTAGGGCGAAGGCGTACGCTGCGTGGGTTTGATGGAGTCCTCTGAGGTCCGCCTCTCCAGCATCTCCTTCCCCGGCGAGCGGCTCTCCTTTACCTTTATGTCGGCTAGAGATGACTCCCTCTGGCGCTCTAGCAGCTCTTTCTCCGCCTCCCGGACGCGGTCTACACTGCCGCTGTGATGTCGACCTGAATCGCTAGAGTTCTGACTGTTTGAGCGAATCAGACTGCTGATCTGGTAGCTGACTGGTGCCGAGGCAGGAGAGGAGCGGTTAGAGTGGCGGTTGCGATCCACGGAGTCCCTGTAATGGTACAACGGAACAACTTGTTGAATCAGCACATTATATTAAGCAGATTCTTTTCAATCAAATTATACTATTTTGGTTCCAACATAGTCTTCCAAAAGAAAAAAGAAAAAAACCAAAACAATTTGTTGGCTTTCTCTAACTTTATCCTCATCTTAATTACCTTCTGCTTCTGAATTTCAGTCACCTCTACAATCTGCTAAACCCTTGCTTAGAGAAACTCTCCCAATTTCTTTTTGTCAACTTTTTTCGCACATCTGCTTTTAGTTTGCTTTGTGATGTAACTTATTTACATATAGGAGGCAACTACAAATCACTTTACATGGACACTACGTCAGATTAATAGTTGGAGTTTCACATTTTTCAAGATCCAGTTGCTCTTTCATCATTTTGAGCTTTATCAAGTCCAGATATCCCAGAGGAACTTCATACTACATTCAGTCAATCACACATTCACACACACATTCACACTCTGATGGTAGCAAGCTACTGGGCAGTAGCCACAGCTGCATAGACCGGCACCATCAGGTCCTCTGACCACCACCAGCAGGCAAGAGAAGTGTCCAGCGCAAGGACAAAAAGATGAAGATGGACGAAGCGGGGATTGATCTGGTAACCCAAATCTTGTAGTACTTTAGAGAGTTTCACCAATATCTAGTATTAATTTATACAAAGTCCCAAGTGTCTGAAAACAAAAGCCATCCGTCCTCTACCCACCTGTCCTTATCCTTCTCCTCTTTCCCGATGGACGAGTCTCTTTTCTCTCTGTCCCGTTCTCGCTCTCGCTCTCTGTCTCGTTCTCGGTCATGGCTGTTGGCGGAACTGCTTCGCTCAGCCTCTCCGGTTTTGGGCCACTGCGGCGGGGTGGGGAAAGATGGCGGTGTGCGTCGCAGCCTGTTCCAGGTGTCGTGGTGGGGGCTGCCAAAAGTGGGCAGTCCTCCTGGCCCCTCCTTGGAACCAAACACACTATTGGACCCTGACGGTGGAAAAAAAGAAAGAAAGAAAGAAAGAAAGAAAGAAAGGAAAAAAGAAAGAAAGAAAGAAAGAAAGAAAAAGAAAAAGAGAAAGAAGGCAGACAGACATTGGACTCTCTAAGTTAATTGGGCACAAAACCTTCTTGAGGACACATAAGACGAGAAAGACTCGACAACAAAAGCTGCTTTTGTCTTTGTCTCTGGAGGTTCTCTCCCCGAAGCTGCTTGGAAGAGTTAGAGGTTAATGGCTCCCCACAACACAGGCTTTGCTTTGGGACTGAAGGGCTTCTCCCCCAACCCCAACACCCCCCCTTTCCCTCCTCTCCATTTTCTGCACCGGATGAACAGAGGAGACTCACTCGCCCTCTGGAGAAGAAAGCTGTGAAAAGCCAAGGGAGACCTTAGCATTCCACAGCATGTCTAGTCCAATCACATCCCATTTTCACAACAGGGTGACTGATTTGGCACACAGAAACAGGGGGGATAATGAAAACGAGAGGAAAACATAGAGGGAAGGATGCAGAGGGAGAAAAGAGAAAGCCCCTCCATGGAGATGCAAAAAGGGGGCTTGTCGAATAATTAATAGATGAATTGTCACCAAACAGCAAACCTAAGAGCGCCTGCTGGCAGCAGTGAAGTCAGATTAAAGCCAGGCTGTTGGAAACATCGCTGATGGATGAAGTGGAGGCAGGGAGGAGCTTTGCTTTGCTTTGCTTTGCTGTGTGTTGTACTGCTTTGTCGGGTCTCCCAGGGCCAGGGGTTTTTGGTTTGACACAGAAACTAGAGCTAAGTGTCTTTTGCCTTCCTCTCCTCGCTCTCCCTGTTGCCTAACGCTTTCCTGCTCTGCTCTGTTCTGTGCTGTGCTTCTGGCCACAGGGGGCCCCGACTGAGAAGAGGGGAAGCCGGTGGAGGAGGAGAGAGCCGGGCAGCGCTTACCAAGCGAGGGGTTGCCTAATCCTCCGAAGGCACTGGTTGAAAGGTTGCCGAGGCCGCCAAAGGAACTGGAGCGACTGAAAGGATCTGCAAAATGCCAAACAGGGATTAGCAAGAGGGGGAGCCGGTTAGCAGTACTCACCCCGACACCAACCCGTTTTACTCAGCTTTTCTCTTACAAGCGAGTTTTTTTTTTTTTTTCTCCTTCTTTTTTTTTTTTTTTTTTTTTTTTTTTTTTGTTAGCGCTGCCATCCTAACTCCCTGCCTGGTAAGTCGTATGGCAGCCAGGATGCAGGATTTACTGGCACTGACTGGAGTTTGATAGGGCAAGAGAAACAAATCTCCCTGATGTGGAAATTAGTTTGAATTTCTTGGAGCAATGTTGACGGTGGTCCGGTGCTGGACGGGGAAACTGAGAGCTAATTAAACTGAAAATCTGCTGAATGATTGACTTCAGTGTAGAAGCCTGACCACTTACAGGGGGCAAAAAACATGTATGAATAACATTCATCAGTCGATTTTAAATGAATAATTCCCCCCCCCAAAAAAAGCTGAAATTATTAGAATGTTTCATTTTATTTTATTCATTTTCTTCAGATAAAAAATTATTTGATCTTCAGTTTATTGAATGACATCAATTGGTAACTCTAGGTCCAAATAAGCTCTCTGTAATAAAAAAAAATGAAATAAATGAAGTACAATAAATGTAAAATCCAGTCCGTTTCCGTAAAAGACAAAATTTATGCTGCACAGAAAATAGTGTAACATAATCTCTGTCTGGAGGCCATGTTTGTGTTTATGAGCCCAGACGGAGTTATACCAGATACATCCATGAGCTGCATGTCTCCTTAAAAAATATACAGCAGCTCGTGGTCAATAGGATCATTAAAACCAAAGCTGAGATCCAAACTTTATCTATCTGCGATTTGAATGACGCCCTGGTGGCTTTTTTTAAAATTTTTTTACCCCATGTTCAAACACGAGTCAAAAAACGGGGAGAATGAGCAGGGAATGCATGGAGAGAAAGAGGAGATATATGGTCAAACGATTGTGAATGTGCGGTTACTTACACTTACCTGCCAAATGGCTCGGAGGCAGGAAGCCACTGGGGTGGGGGGCGGGGCCGTACGGGGAGGGTGCTGGGTGTGCAGAGCCTATCAACACAGACGCACTCACATTATTCAGTAATATGGGAATTTAATCTCTAAGAAACTCCCTTCAAAACAAGTCTTGTTTAGTATTAATGTAGGTTAGTTGCTGTGGGAGATTTAAATCCAATATCAAAAACATAACAGGGGTTTAATCCTAATGTTATTTTATGTTGTTTTTTTTAACCTTTAAACCTTTTATGCAGAAAAAGAAAAAAAAAAAAGGCAGTGGTGCGCTAGCAACAATCCTTACATGTTCCTTTCTATTTCCCACTGATCATTTATCAGCTAAACAATTCTTTGTAGGTAATCACATAATGCAAACATAATGATGGTAACAAAGTAAAAAAAAAAAAAGACATTTGCATAAACAATTGTCATTTGTCAGATTAGAATTATTTTAAGACCAAGATTTACACTAAATGAAAAACACCAAAGGAGTTCAAGTGCAGGTAAGATGTTGACGACAGAAATATTCCACAGAAACCCGTTAAAAAGAAAAAAAAAATCTTGATCTGTTCCTACGCTAAGAAGTAATAAAATGTGAATAAATGCAAAAACATGTTGAACACAGAGTCGACGCGGGCTGCCGTTCACATTTCCCTTTTATTGCCGCGGTTACGCGTTTGTGCTTGAACCTGCAGCGGCACGGCAAGGTCAGGTTTTGAATACACAACTAAATGGCTTCTTTTACAAAACATTGTTACCATCAACCACATCTCATGAATTGTTAATGAAAGAGCCAATTATATGAATGCCTCTGACAAACCACAGCATAATTACCAGTCAAAGGGCATTCTCCTTTCTGTTGTAGCCCCCCACCCGCCCCAACGCAGGGCAAATCAGTCAATTACCTATCTGAGAGTCATGCATATTCATAGACAAATCTGATTTCCTTTACTGGCAAAACATTTGCTGAAAAAGCCCTATAATTAACCAAACACTACACGAGAGGAAAAATACCCACTCCGTTTTTTTTTTCTTTTTTTTTTTTAAATGAAATTAGAAATTCTTATTTGCATAAAGGCAGAAAAGCTTCAGTAAAAAGATCATTTGTGATTTTTTTACATTTAGGTTTTAGGAAATCAGCTGACCTGTGGAGGGGAAAAGGGGTCGTGCCAGGTCGTGGGGATAGGGGAACCCAGGGAAGACTCCTGGGGCCGGAGGTCGACTGAACAGGTCCAGCTTCCCGTTCATGTCCAGCTTGTGGGGGTCGAGCTGCATCTGCTGTAATTCAAAGAGGCAGAGACGACGACAGTCAGACAAAGGAAAACTAGGCCAGTGGATAACGGCGGGCGAGGCATTTCCAGTGACACAGCGGGCGGTTTATTCGTTTTTCGCTGCGTTTCTCCAGTTCCGGCTAGCTCTGTCAAACCATCCATGCAAGCTGATTAGGAGCAATAAATCCACGATGACAAAGATCCAAAGGCCGAAGAAAGCCTTTGAATCAAAATCTAACTAATAAATATAAAAAAAAAACTCCAGATGAAATTGTTATCGGCAATAATGTTAGAATACATTACATTATTCTAACATTAAAAGGTAAAATGTAGTTTTATAGTGTATATGTTAGTGATATTAATATTACTATAGTCATTAGAAGAAGGAATAATTTGATGTTTCCTGTTTTAAATATAAACATTTAGATAATTTTTACTTTGGTTTACATGTTTTGCGTAGATACAATGAACCCAAAGTATTCATGATCATCAGTTACCAGCTCTGCCTAGTCTTTTCAAACCAGCGGCTCGTTTGTGGGTAATTTATTCTTAGCATATGTAATCTCTGTGTATAGTAGGTGATTATTTAACAATCACTGCTATGTGTCTGGTTTGACATGACGATACAGAACAGCCCGTCTCACGCACCTTCATTTTCTGCTGGTGGTGGTAGATCTGCCATGCAATCTGGACATGTACCGCGCACCACTTGCCAGGTTTCTAAAAATTTGAAGAGAAACTACAGTCAGCGTCCTGGCTTTAATTTAGCGAGCTAAAAAAAAATTAAAAATCAATGCTGGCATTAGGAATTTCTGGCCAGACGACAAAGCAGAAGTCAGAAATTTTAACCAGGCAACCAATTTAGAAATATGTATCCCTGGCTTGAACCCAGTACGGAGCTTATGCTTAACCCCGATACTCCAAAGCCCAGCATCAGCTTGACTGGGATTGTACATGAGACTTTGTGGCCTGGCCAGAGAACTAAAGGGTTTTAGATAAATCAACAAATGTGTCAACTCACCCTAACAGATGTCCTGAATGGATCACTCATCTGTATGGACAACAGAGGATCATTAATAACAGAAATATAGACATGTCAAAGCAGGTTTAATGTTTAGACTCATAAAATACAAGTTTCTAAAGACGCTAAGACTTATGGTGCGTTCCATTTGCAGTCAGAAAAATCAACTGGAAAGCCCACTGGAGTCAAAAATTCGGAGTAACTCTGACGACCCCCAGTGAAGACTTTTATGGCTGACTTTGCGTTTCAGTATGGCCGCTGGTCACATCAACAGTAGTAAGCTGTGGTGGAAACATGCTAAATTTAATTAAATTAAAAAGTGGCATTCGCTTAAAACGATGTTCATAAGCGGTACTGCAAACAACCTCTACTTGCGCGCCGCCATGTTGAAATCCCGATTTCTCCGACTACGTCAACCGGAATGTTATTACCGCAAACGTTTCTGACTCCGACTTCTGAGGTAAGTGGAACGCACCCGATAGTTTCGCTTGTTGTGTGTGTTTGGCATTCACCAGAAGCACCACGGCAGAATGATGGCGGCCATGCTTACCCGGGGATCCTTCTGTAGAAGTGTGTGAGGAACGGCTCCAGGACGCGCTGCTACGTCAATGGGATTAGAAGCCTGGCAGAAACAACAGGAAAAATGCTCGGTATTAAAAATAAGCCAGAAGTACAGTAGACAAAAACTAGACGTTAGCAACCTAATGTGTTCTTTGAAGATTATTGTGATCTAGGCATGTTCAATGGGGATTTCTTGAACTCAGCAGGTGTACTCAGCTGTTCCCTAAGTGGATTAGTGCATTTCTACTTGGGTGTTTCTTGTTGATCATTTTCTTGTTGCCAGTTTTTCTGTTGCTTTTAATTTCAAGCTTCTGTAAAGCATGACTGGAAATGCAATGGGAGATTTAAGGCTTTTGACCAGATTTGGCAGATTTTTTTGGTTTGACCGTCCCCGTCTGATGAAACTGTGCATAAGAACGAGCTCCCATGGTCACACAGTCACACAGAGATTATTTTAATCTCTGTAAAATAATCTACAGAGATTATTTTACAAGACAAAGAAGACCTGAAGTTAGCCGTTTTCAGCTTTGTTGAGGTATCTGAAAATAAATGCACCAAAAAGTTATTTAGCAAAAAAAAAACTATTTTATCGTATTGGCACGTTGGCTGTTTATTCAGGCTACTAAATCAGAGAGCTACAATTTAGTGTTTGCTGGTCATTTGGATCCAGTTCATATTTGGTTGTTTTGTAATTGAATCAGATGTTTTGCCAAACTCTGAGATGTTTCATCAGATTGGTGAAATGGCAGATGTACACAGAACCAACTGGAAGGTTGAACATATAACAGGAAAGTTGACCTATTTTAACCATGTGAACCTTCAACCTGCTCTGTTTAAGGAACCTTGGAAACCAGAGAGCTAATGTCAAAGTCTGCATGCTCTGGGGAAAAAAGCACATTAAGTCACATATTTGCTTTAGTAATGCTAATCAGGCTAACCAGACATCTAAGACAGTAGAGATGGTTTGAAATGTCAGTTCCTGGTTATTTTGTTTTTATTTTAACTGAGTCATTGTAATTGTTATTATTAGATATGCATATGTTGTTTGTTACCATGGTTTCTTGATTTTGCTTTGTTTTTCTCTTTCTGCAGGTGTAGGAGCAGACTCCTCTATAATCTCCTTTCCCTTTAGATATTTCTCACATTTTTCTTTTCAAAATTTTATGACAAGGTAGAGTGTTGGCTTTGCTCCTAATAGGATTATTTTTATTCATTTTTTACTTCTACTGGTTTATTATATCCTCTATTTTTTCAGGTAAATTATCTTAAAATGAGAAACATATTTTTAACACACAAGGCCATTCAGGCAGCAGTTAATACATTTTCCAATGTAATTAACACACCATTTACATCAAAAATTAAAATAAGTCCAATTAAATGCTTCATTCATGTTTACTTTTGCAAAAAAAAAAAAAAAAAAAAAAAAAATTAACTTGGGAAATAAAACCTCATGATTTACTTTGAGGTTCAATGACTTTGGAACGAGGTGTGCCAAAAGCAAAATCTTTCCAAAAACCACAGTGTGATCCTCCAGATTTATGTCACCAGGATAAATATCAAACCCTGGCCTTCCTCAGTAACACTAAAGCTCCCTAATCCGTAATTACTGCTACTATATAGCTGATGCTAATATAAACCAAAAAGAAAGAAAGAAAAAAAACCTCAAGCTCATCTCCAAGAATACTTAGCAGGGGCTTTGTGTAAGAGCCTTGCTTGGACCATCTGGAGCGGTCTTCGACAGAAGGGTCCCTCAGTGCCTGAGCCAGCTGGGACTGGGGCCAGCGGATTTGGGCCAGCTTTGATTGGTGTCTTCCTCCAGGTCACAGCCTCTGAGTATATGTCAGACAGACTCGCCCGGCCTAACCCTTCACATCCCCTCCCTGATTCCCCCTCTGGTTTCACTGAATAGCAATTTGTCTATCTTGACCTGGTCGGGACTCAGTTAGTGACGTTACACAAGCATTTGTAAGACTGGAAGTACTGAGTTTACTCTATTAAACGGATAAAAATGCAACAAAACCATATTTCTTGTCTGACCTCATCCGATGAAACGGATTTAGGTCATCACTTTGGGTTGTGTTTAAAACTCTTATTAAAAAGAGGAAGCGGTTCTTGAATTGGCCGGTTTTGTTGACTACATTGAGAATTAATGACTCTAGTTTAGTGTATTGTCAAAATACAACCATGAATTTTCTTTTGTTTCTTTCGACATGTGATAGCTTTGGTTAGGAACCAGTTTTGACATCGGCTTAGGTTCTATTAATTATAGTAATATTAGAGAATTGAGTAGAAATATCCCGTAATTTCTGTGCAACAGCAGCAAAATGTCAAGCAATAACAGGAAACAGACTCTCACAAAGATAGAATATAAAATAATATATATTTATACATTGAAAAAACAGAAGAATAAAAATGCTGTAACTAAGGGAAAAGTTTCCACATAAATGCTGTGTAGTTATATAAAAAAATCCATTATTATTCAAGTATTTGTAAGATGTAAACAGAAAGTATAGAGTTCTCTCCATTTTATGGAAAAGAATGTAACAAAACTAAACCAGAGCATCTACGGGTCACATCGGGTTGCATCTACGCTCACGGCTCATGTTTTGCATCGTGAGAGGACGTAGTTCTTCAGTTGACCTGTTGTGTTAGCATAGCGCATCTGGAAAGTAAAAACCCATGCATTTCCTCTCGGAACTGTGCAGTCGCTAGTTTGTGTGCATGCTTCCAGGTATTCCCGGCCTGTTTCGTAGCCTCTGGGTTAAGGGCGGGGATGTGGGTCTGACCTTAGGCTGGAAGGCTCCTTGCAGCGAGCTGAAGGGTCCTGAGTGCGGGAGCAGCGGGGGCATGCCTGGCATGGTCGGGGGATAGGAGGGGAAGAACTGGGGAGGACAGAGGGAGGGATGGAGGGAGGGAAATGAAGAAATAAAAAAAACAAACAAAATAAACAACACACAAAATCATACAGAGACTCGTACAGGACGCGAGCGATTCAGCACACGCAAAGCCACGGCCGCCATCAATGCCCCCACGGCAACATTCAAATATGCCAAATATTTGATTTGCCAAATGCAAAACACATATTTACATTAGAATGACAGAGGAAACTCACATTTGAATGTCTGATGAACGGATTGTCCAGTTTGGGGGTGTATTTGTCGAACTGGGGGAGAAGAAGAGAAGAACAGAATTAGGGAGAGTCTCACACGGATATTTCTACAGTGCAAAACATGACAAACATGTGCAGCTGGTCAAATTCAGACACATATTTATAATGATATTGATAAAAAAAAGTCCAGGAGGTAAAGCAGCTGGCTTGCACTGGCCACGGATTTCATTAAACAACATGGCGAAGCTTGATTTTCCAATTAAAAGTACAGTCATGGGGATCAAATTATGTTGAAGTCGGAGTAATATTTAAAGAAAAAATAATAATATATACTTTTAATACTTTTTTTTGACAACATGCACTACTGATAAACACAGAAAGCGAGTAGCTTTGGCTTCTTCCCCAGCGTTTGAGAAAGCACATCTCAAATTAAATTTGGTGAAAAAGCAGGTCTGTGCACAACATCATGAGCAGATTACATGAGCAGCATGAGTCTCATTTGACTGAAACTAAATGAAGCCATTTGCAATGGTTAGGAGTCAATTTAGGCTGGATCAGCATGAAACTGACAACGTTTCACGGAGGACGCGAAGTGAAGAAACCCTTCCTGTGTCACGGCTTGAGCCAATTAGAGTCATTGCAGCCGGATTTTAGCATAAAAAAAAAAAAAAACATAAAATAAAATCTGTGGTTTTATGCTGGAAAAGAAAAAATGTCTCCAATCATTTCCCGAATGCATGTGAAGCCAAGCGGGAGATACATGAATGGCGGACCTTGTATTTTGGTTGGCGCGCACCAACACTGGTCTTCTATTTTGAAATTTGCTCATTACAGGAAACGGTAGCTTGTGCGCGCTCCGCAAACATACAAGCCGTTTGCAGGTAGTTTTAGAGAGTGCTGCTGTAAAGCCCTCTCGGCCTACAGGATTTAAAATCGTTAAATCAAAGGGCTACGAATCAGATTCCAGGGTCGGGCCGGGAGTTTTCGTTTTTGGTTGCTTTCTGTCACATCCAAACCTGAAGCGGCAGAGCAGACGCAGCCGAAGCCGAGTCTGGGGGGGACCGATTCAAAGAAGGGGGGAAAAAAAAAAAAAAAAGCAGAGCTCATTAAACAGCTGCTCTGCATTTCTGAGGGGTGCAGCTTGTTTAATGTTTGACACTGAAAAAGAATGCCGGACGCTTTATGGCCTTGAAAAAAAAAAAAAAAAAAAAAAAAAAACACAAAGTCTGGCCTTTATAATTTATGGTAGCTGTCACGGATTTATGGCAAACATCTTTGCCAAATTAAACCTTAATACTTCCATCTTATAACAATTCGGGAGATTCCTCGTTCAAAGACGTGGTGGTGGTGGGGGGGAGGCGCGGCCGGTCGCTGCTACCATTTGGCAAGCCAGCTGCTTGAGGGCGTAAAGCAATAAACAAACATAGAAGCTTCATAATTTCATTAATTACAGCCATTAGCCAAAGGCTGTTGCATAGTTTAATTGACTCGGGGCATCAAGAGAACACAAAAAACAACAACAAAATAAAAAAAATAAAAAAATGAGAGAGAGAGAAAATAATGAGGAAACACTGCTTCTGTCCTTTCACAGAAAAACAACGACATCATCATGAATCTTGTTTCTCTAAGGGAATAAAAACAAGTTTTCAGAGCAAAGTGAAACAAAAAAATGTAAATTCTCCATGAAAAAGGACAAAAAGGGGCTGTCGGGTGTAATAAAATGAAACTTGGGGGGGGAGGGGGGAGAAAAAGAAAAAAAAAATCACTCCTTTCATGATCAAAGGGACGTCTTGCAAACTGCACCATAATTCCAAACCATGTCAGGAATGAGCAGCAGACCAGATAACAAAATAATAAGAAAAAAAAAATAAAAAAAGAGTGTTGGCTCGGGAAAACCTGCTGCACGCTCTCTCTGTAGTTTTCCCGAGTCTGCGGCATAAACACCAGCACTTTGATTTCTAATGTACAGGATGGGAATAATCTTTGTAAGAGGCCTTAATGGGACCGCAGGCTCTTAATCAGAAGGTCACAGAGTGATGGATTACATCTATTAAACTAATGCCGAAAAGCTACAAACAGGGGACCCATCTGAGAAGGCTGCCGGAGATCGGCTGTGTGCTGGAAATGATGAATGAACAGTTATAATCTGAGAGCTGCCAGTGTTGCAACCCCGCCGGCCCCAACCCCCTCCCTCACTCTCTCTCTTTCTGAATTGATGGCAGTTGAGGCAAGGAAGCAATTAGAAAAGTTATCAAAACAGTTTGGCGGTGATGTCATCAGCCTTTATCTGCAATGAAGTCATTTTGACTGAGAGCGAAGCTTTGAATTTAAAACTAAAGACATAAATGCACAAACACATACAAGAGGAAAAATAGCATAAATTAATTTTCCCCCACATAGAAGCCATGTAATCTGCAGGAATGCTTCCACACACACACACACACACACACACACACACACACAGGGAGAAAGAGTTGTTTAATGGGCCTTTCGTTGCTCTTTGCGAACGCTTCCATATGCAAACAATTGAGAGAAAGAAAAAGAGAGAAAAAAAAAGAAAGAAAAAAAACGCCTTCGGGGCATTTCTGCTGTTTGATCTGCAAAAATCTTAAGTGTAAGTTAGAGGGAAGACGAGAGTTTAAATGAAATTAGCCTGTGGAGTTCTGTAAAAGCGCGGCGCGGCGCTGGCGTGGGCGTGCCGCTCTCCGGAAAGTTCCTCTGGAATATTGTTCATCGAAAGAACACGGCGTTCCGGGGAGAACGGTTGAAAGAAAGCAGGGAGAAATGTGCAATTCATAAAAGCTTTGGGATGTTATCTGGTGAAAAAAAAAAAAATAATTGAAGAAAAGATAATAATAATAATTAAAAAAAAAAAAAGAGGAGCGCATTGAAGAGGAGATTCGAGGAGGTGCGACAGGTGAGTCGGTTGGAGGTTTACGGGTGGAAGGGGGGAGAAGCGGGTGGATGTGGGGGGGCTTTTCTTGTTACTTATCCTCACATTTCTGGCTTGGGTACGCACCATGGGGGGTGCGGTGGGCGGGGTGAGGATGGCGGCCGGGGGCAGACTGGCGGGGAAGGGCGTGAAGGTGTGCTGATGGGTGTGTTGGTGCTGGTGCATGTGCTGGTGTTGGTGAAACTCGGCCCTCAGGAGCGACACGGGGGCCAGCGGCGAAGCGGACGGCCCCCGGCCCCGCTCCGAACTCTGAACCAGGAAGCGGTTGTTCAGCTCCTGCCTCAGGAGGTCATGCTCTGCAAGAAAGGAGAGCGAGGAAAACCAAAAAAAAAAAAAAAAAAAAAGAACAAAAAAAGGAAGAAATAAAGAAAATAAAAAGGAAAGGAAAGAAAAAAAAAGATGGGAGGCGGGGAAAGGAAAGGAGTAAGGGGGTTGGGGGGGGGGGACACAAGAAAAAAAAAAAAAGGCACGAGCGCCCAGTCAGTCTTCACAACAAGGGTAGAAGAAAGAAAATAGTCACCTGGCATTCTCTGTTTCTCCAGCTCATGCTGTGAGGGTTTTCTACGTGGGGACTCATTGGTGGTGGTAAGAGAGTTGCCTGTGACAATGTGCCAATCAGAATCCCCGAATGAGGCTGGCAATACATGATTGGTTGGTTGAATGATATCAACAGGCTGGTATCTAAAGACAAGAGAGAACCAAGAGTCATCCCAGCAGAAAACACACACTCTTGCCCTCTATGAGGTCAGAAAAGCACAACTGGTTTTTGGTGCCTTGCAAAAGTATTCGTACCCCTGGAATATACATATATGTATATATATGTATATATTTTTCATCCACATTTTGTCACACTACAACCTTTTATTTGGTATAAACCACAAAGTATTAATGAAGTGGAAGGAAGGGGATTATTAAGGTAATAAAAAAAAATCTTGTGCATTTGTACTTATTCCCCTTTACTCCAATCCTCCACAATAAATTCCAGTGCCTTAAGAAGCCACTAATTTGTAAAGAGAGTTTAACTTTATGTATTGTAATCTGAATATACAGCTCTGGAAAAAACTGAGACCATGTAAAATGATCAGTTTCTCTGATTTTACTCTTAATATATTTTTGAGTAAAATTAACATTGTTGTTTTATTCTATGAACTACTGACAACATGTCTCTGAAATTCCAAGCAAAGATTTAGTATTTATTTGCAGAACAAGTTCATATTCATTTCGAAAGAACAATGCTAATGTGTTTAACTCAGGAAGAGTTCAGAAATCAGCATTTGGTGGAATAACCATGAGGTTTTCAATGGGCTTCAGTGCAGTGGACTCTTAATTTTTCCCCCAGAGCTGTATATTTAGCTATTTTGTGAAGAGGTTTGTTCAAGAACAAATCAGTCAGAACAAGGATGGAAAAGTTGTGATAAAGTTTAGAGAGTATTTAGTTTATAAAGCAATATTCCAAGAAAGCTAATCAGAAAAGAAGCTAATGTTGTTTGCCACAAATTATGAATAGGAGATGCAAAAATGAAGGAAGAAGGTGTCCTGGTCCGATGAGACTAACATTAAATTTTAGGGTAGATACCCTGTAGACACCTTCTTATTTGGATCAAAGGATCCCCACACTAGAGTGGGCCAATTTCCAATATAAAAATCTGTGGCAAGGCTTTAAAACTGATGCATGCTGATGCTCTTCATCCAATCTGACTAAAATCTTGACGTTTTGCAAAAAGCAATGGGCAACAATTTAAGTCTCGAGATGGGGTGAACGGTGACAGAGGTTTAACTCAAGAGACTTGGAGCTGAATTTTCATGAAAAAGTGGTTTTACAAGTAACGACTGAGGAGGGGCGGGTTTGGGGGGGAAAGGCTACAAATGCACACCAAACCTTTCAGATTTTCTTTGTAAAAGCCTTGTACCATTTTCCTTCCGCTTCACAGTCATGATAGAAGTTTGTAGTTGTAGTGTGACGATACGCAAGAAAGACCAAAGGGTGGGAACACTTTTGCAAGGCAATGTATATGTATATATGTATATAGAGATTTTTTTTAGGGGGGAGACACCCATCATCACTGGAGACTCCATTTGTTTATTTCACAAATTGGTGCCCCATATGTCTTTTTTTTTTTTTTTTTTGGTAATAAAATAGTTATAGTCTGTATCGAGTTTTAAAAGGATGCAAATCACACAGTTTTGGCAGGATTTTTGAGAGAGCACCGTGATTCACTTAAAGCAGCGCTCTCGCTGATTTCTAAAGTCTCCAGCTGGGATGGCGGTCCAATCGTTAGCTGACATTTTTTTCAATGCTTTATTAACTGTGACCTTATATGACCTTTCTTCCAATGCAAAAACATGTAAAAATACAGTCCATCTACTGGTGATGCTCCATCAAACCAATGTTTACAACATGTTTTTGATGCCTAAGAAGGATTCCTGTATGTGGAATCATTTGGTGCGTGTTTCCGGTTGAAAATCTAGACTAAGCTTGTTGATGTTAGCAGTGCTAATCTTAAAGATGGCTGCTGGCCTTCAGGGAAGATAATTAGGTGCCTTATTCTTTCTGTCTACTAGAGTTTCTACTTCATCAACTTTAACATGTTATGTTCGAAATAGATTTATTTTCCTGTCCCCGCTGTGAGGACTGTGGGAAACCAATTAAAATCTCTAAAAACTGGAGAGAATACTGAAAGCAATGTTTCCATCACAAGGTAAACCAAAAGCAAAGTGTGCTCCAGATAAACACCGGCGGCCATGAGTAGGGCCTTGTACGCTGAAGAAACGGCCTCTTTATATAAACTCACTGATGGAGAGATAAACAGTGGGTTCTGGTAGATTTTAGCTACTTAAAAAATCCACACAAATCATTTCAGAAGTGGGGAAAAAAATTAAAATAATAATAAACAAGTACTTACCAGAGGAGTCCACAATACATTACTTTGTTTTCAGCCCAATAAGACATACTTATTCACTGTTGGCTGAGTGTGCATACATCCTGCTCTTCCATAGTGTAATACAGGCAGGTTGAGGGAAAATGAACATGAAATCTTCTCTATGCTACATGGCTATTAAAAAATTAGAACTTTTTTTTTTTTTAAAACTAAAAGTAACATTAGGACCCTACATCTGCAGTGCCTTGCAATTTCACTAATATAGCTTCCACTATAAATTCCACTAGTTTCATAACCACAGACTTATTTTATGAGGACATAAACACAAAGTAAAGCACAATACTGGGGAAGGGAAACAAAGATATAACTTTTTTTTTTTTTTTTTACAAATTAAGATTTTAAAAGTATTCAAGCCTTTTGAGTCGATACTTTTAACAATTTTTCAGAATAATTTCAGCTGTTGGGTTACTGTCGAATATTCTCGATTGGATTTAGGCCAGAACTTTGACTAAATTGTTGTGACACATAAATATAGCTACTTTTTAAAACTTTATGCATAAAAAAACTATATTTCTAAGCCATAATGAGTTATATATGTATAAATGAGATAATAAACCCACAAACTATCGTATAGTGCTTAAAGGGGCAGTATTATATGTTTCCTAGCCACATAGTGCCATTTTAAAGCATGATCAAGTAACTATGTTGCCTTTAGTTGTTGTAAAAATGCTAAATATACCAAAAATGACTGAAAAGAAATTTTACTTCTTTATTAAGGTTTTATTGGCTCTAGTGGCCTTTATTTGAAGGTAGTTTGACAGGAAAGAGGGTTATGCGAGAGGGAGAAGATATGTGGCAAATGTCACCAGGCTGGGAATCGAACCTGCGACCACAGACATGAGGACTAAGGCCTCAATACATGGGTTGTGCTTTGCCCCTGCGCCACCACAGCACCCCTTTTACTTTGTTATTTAACACTTTGAAATTGGACCTCTGTCTCTAAGAAATTTCTGCTCTCTCTAACACTCCGCCTTCAGGAAGTCATCACAGTATTAATCATTTAACAATGTTTTTACCAGTGTTGCACAAAAGAAGTAGCTCCTATACAATATATATTTTTAGAGTGCAATAAGTAAGCTAATGAAAGAGAGGTGTTAATTAGAAATTTAGATACAATTAAAAGTAATTTGGATATAAGGGAATCGCTTCAGAGATCATCTGGGGATGTGGTATTTAGCAGTATTTTATTTTATTTTTTTAAGAAGAACGGGGTGTTTTGGGGAGATTGTAGTAGTGAAAGCATATGATTCGTACTCCAATCTAGAAGGTGGCGGTAATGCACCAAAACGTTGTTTGCCTACCGCCACAGAAAAGAGAAGAAGAAGCTCCTTTAATGAGCTCAGCAATGTACAAGTGTTGCTAATTATTGCTATCTAGTCTGAAGGAGCTGAGTGAGGAAGTCAGCTAAAAGATTTCACAAACATGCATGGAAGAATCAAGGTAACACTCCAGGTATGTTTTTGATTAGGAACCAACACTATAACATGATTTTCCATAATACTGCCCCTTTAAGAAAAGCTACATGTATCTTGCCTTTCAATTTCCACCCAGTTATTTGTTACTTTGTGTTACATAAAGTACCAATAAAATAAAGTGAAGCTTGTGGTTGTAATGTGAGAGAATGCAAAATAAAAGTTATGGCACAAATTCAATTTTTTTTGGCTGCAATTACATAAGTTTGACAGATAAGAATTGAAGCTAGCACCAAGCGTGTGAGGTGTGTGGCTTTACCTGGGTAGGGGGTGCCAGCGGGGTGTCCAGGCACCACTAAACTGTTGGTCGGTAAGGTCGGCGGTGGCGGCAGTGTGGCTGGGGTTGCAAACATGGCCGAATGGCGATGGGCTGGACTCCGTAGGGAGGAATAGTGCGAGGTAGAGAGGTTTGCTATGGACAAAGGCAAGGCAGGGGCTGAGGACGGGAGCCCGCTGAGGTGGTGGTGAGGGGACGGGGGCAAGTGCTGCTTGGCGAGACCCAGTGGACTGCTGCTGTGGCTGTAGAGTCAACAGGAAAGGTAATGATTATTTACAGAAATAGCAAACACAGTCTTCAGCCAGAATGCATTTCTCAATGAGTAGCGGAGAAATTTCCTAAAAGCTTCAGTTTTCAGAAAGACTTTAACTGCTAAATCCGGCCGCAGCAGAGGGCGTGTTCTGAATGGACAGGGTGCAACAGGAAGCAGTGAGCTCAGCAGTAAAGATCAATAGCAAAACAGCAAATCGTCCAGCTGCTTTTGTCATCTCCAGAGGCGAGCAGAGCGCATGAGAGAAATCAATAATTGCATAATTCAGAAGTGTCTCTTGGTTAATTTTATGTTAATTTTGTTACCAGCATCAGTAGTTTGCTACATTTTGAAAGGTAAACACAAAATTTAGCAGCTCAGCAAATCTCAGGTCACCATCTTAATCTGTTCAGATGCCACGCCCACTGGAATGGAAAAGAAATTTTTCTGTGTTTTGCTTACTGAACTTGTCATTTGCATGTTGCTTGTTACTGATTAGTTAATTGTTAATCATAATTCTTGTAGTGAGCATGGCTATGAAACCACAGGAGGGAAGGAGTAAGTGTCTGTTTTCTGTCAAATATATATATTTATGTTCATTCTAGGCTACAAAAAGTGCTCTAAGTATAATTTGAAGTATTTCAAGTGATAGTATTTGAAGTTATTTTTGAAAATATAAAATTGTAGGATTTTTTTTCTAAATTAAATGTCCATCCCAATGGACCTCAGGAGATTGGCTACATTATTCAACACTTAATTATTTAGTGCAACCATGCAAAGAAAAACGTATCTTTAGGGATCGTAAGGCTAAATTGTAGTTTCGAAATTATTTTACATTTTCCTTTTTCTTGATTGAGTATAAACTTTAACACTTGCTAGAACTGTAAGAAAATGGAGAGATATCTGAGCTTGGCTGCTTGGATTTAAGAAATAAGGAAAGTGAGAACAAGAGTTGAGAAATAGAGCAAGACCAGATTTTGAGCCCAGAAAACAATATCAGGTCTGCAGGGGTTTAAAAGTTAAGATCTGCCCACTGTATATGTACAGTATGTATGTTTATGAGTGTACTTGCGCAGGTTTGTGAGTTTGTCATAAATCTGTAGTGTTTCCTCTCTAAATTCTCACCCAGAGTCCCACTGGTTTTTTGTTGTTGTTTTTTTTTCATGGTTGTACCACCAAAGGCGACTACAGCGCTTTAAATTACCTGATGTCGTGGAGGCTGTTGTACTGCAGAGGGTGGTGCACCTGGTGGCTGATCACTGGCCGGGCGTGGTGAGGCGGGGGCGGGAGCACACGGGGCTCCGGGTGTGAGTGCGGGTGAGGGAGGTGAGGCGGGGCGTGGGGTGGCGCCTTCAGCAGGGGCGGGGTCGGGACAGGGGGCGGAGGCTGCTGCTCCTTCTTGACGCTGAGGGGCGGTGGGGTGGGAAGGCGAGAGCCGCGAGGCTCAGGGGGGGCTGCCGCCGCTGCGAGCGCCGGGGAGCCCGTCGGTGCCGAAGCCGGGGTGGGGCTGGGCACGGGCGGTGCGAAGGGCACCTCAGTGTTGCTCTGCTCCTGGCTGCGCTGGAGTCCTGACACTTTGGCGGAGCCACAAGTCTTCGACACGGAGCTCTCATTCGCTGGCACACCTGAGGAAGAGACGGCCAAAAATAATCAACATCAACATTCAAATTGAACTCAACTGATTTTAAGTCAAGTTTATTTGAATGGCACATTTCAGCAACAAGGCAGTTCCTCTTTCTTTACACCATAAAAATATAAAGTCACCAATTATGAAACAAGCAATAAATACTACATTTTGTCAAATACCACCATCAAAGAAGTCAAGTCAAAAGAGCGTTCTCTTTGAGAGATGGTTATGAATCAACCTGTCTGGAATCCAGAGAGCAGGAGTTGTGTGGATGAAAGAATTTTTTTTTTCAGAACTCAAGGAAGAATGGCTGATAGCTGGCAGGAAGCTATCAGCTGCTACCACTCAACCGTACCTTTGTTAGATACAGCATGGTGATGCATCGTGTCACAAAGCTCAAATCAAATCAGGGTAGTGTCTGTGGAATGTGGTCAAACTGGATATCTGCATCATGGACGTGCAGTCAGAAAGTCTGGAGAAGCTGCATGATGCTATCATGCCATTACTGGCAAAATGTTCCTGGTACTTCTGTTGGTACGGTACTTCTGAAAGCAAAACGGGAATCCAACCCGGTACTAAAAAGGTTTGTTTAATACAGTGGCAGGTGAGTGTACAATTTTTTAAGTGAGCAGAAAAATTAACCCACATTATTAAAAGATTCCAATAGTCACAAAAGAGTTCTCCAGCTGTGCGTCGCTAAAGAAATTATAGCTAATCAATGAGTCTCCATGATGGAGTAAAAAGGACGCCCCTCTCCTCCTTCCCAGCACCGCTCCAGTGTCCTCTGAGCAAGGTTCCCCTTGTTTCCTCTCCCTAGGTTCCATTAAGTGTTTAATCAGGTCATTTTCATGCTTGACTATAATCAGATGATCCAATTTCTTCCTGCGATCAAGTCAGTATGAATAAATCACAGCTAATTAAAGTCAAATGTCAGCGCCCATTCAGGGCTTTGCTGAGCACACAATCTGGCATGAAATAATTATGTTTCAATTGTGCTGTAAAGAGAGATGGTGGCCTCTCTGTCACCAAGTCACTACATCCTGGCTCTCTTGTTCAGTCTGCAGATATCTTTGAAAGCACAGGAAAACCCAACGGACTCGGCCAAGCTGTTGTCACCAACGTTCCCCCTAAATTACTTTTGGTACTCTTGTTTCTTCAAGTTAATGGCTACAATTAAGTGTTTTTGTGGCAGGTACATTAGGGGTGTATTCACACTAACTCTGTTTAATCAGCTTTAATCAAACTCTAGTTCATTCGCCAAGAAAGTCCGGATTGTTTGGGGAATTTAACTCTGATGTGGACCTAAAAAGCAAACTCTGGTCCGCCTAAAAACCTTGTTCTCAGTTCCGTTAAAGTGAGTTCTGGCGCAGTTCGAATACGTATGTGAATGCCAAGTGGGCTGGAGACTGCTCCAAAAGTAGGAAGCGAACTATAGCGCAAGACATTCTGGGTAAATACAACCAAAACAAACTCGTATGTCTGGTACTAGAGGGAGAAACTGCTTGTGGTCTTTTGTCAAGGACAAAAAAGAAATCCTATAACTGCTCAAATGTGACGCCACTCAATGTTAGTTCACATTTCAAGAAGAAAGAAGTTGTGCTCACTGGCTCCCCAATTTGACATTTCAAAAATAAATTTGTTTAACACCAATGACAAAAAAACTCTAGACTTTCTATACAATGTCTTGCCACAAGGACAGGGTGGTTTTACGGCCGTATCGAAATTGGTATTGAAATTGGTTTATTTAGCAAACTAAAACTGCAATGAAAACACTTTTTTGGCATCACATAAGATGCACATCAACAACTGGATGTTACTGCTGGTGCAAAAACACACAGAAGAAGGCCACAGGAAGTAGTGGGAGAATCATGGTGTGACACGGTTTTTAAATATCATGTAGACAAAACTTATGTAATTGTGATTTTAATCGCATTTCGTATTTAATAGAAACAACGTAATAGCAGAATTGTTTTTTTTTTTCAAAATTAGCGGAATATTGACAGTTTTGCAGACATTTGTAATGAAAGCACAATTATTTTCTTCCCATCATTTCCTTCATTGGTGCAGCGCGACAAGCGAGGGGCTAAACGGGTTCCTCAATGGATTATTTTTCGTTTGGCAGAGTGCAGTGTGAAAACAAACTGCAGCAGCTGAAAATGCAACAAATGTTGCAACTTTGGTCCTCAATCGAACCAAGCCTATTGGACTACCAGGTGTGGAAACGCCTATAATGTGTCAAAATAATCAGCATCCTGATGCATTTATCACAATGTGCAAAAGAACTAGAATGTTGGACGTTTCTTCAGTTTTATTAAGAGAGATCGTATGCCTCCCCTACAGTCAAATCAAAAGCAGAACGGACCTCTAGGAGTTTGATGAAATGGCGACGTTACTTCTTGAGCTCTTGAGCTAATCAAAGCTGCGGCTGGTAGGATTCTTGCTAAGCACGGGGAGATCACATGTGCCGAGACATCAAAGACAGAAGGTATTCACAAATGCACGTCGACAATGGAAGAGAAAAAGACGGTCCAATGATGAGAACAGTCTTTTTAATCTACAACTAAGATGCAGCGGTACTTCAGTCAAAGCCTTACTCGTGTTTCAATTAAAAAAGCTCCATGGGCATTCTTGGCGGTTTAAAAAAACGAAAAGGGAAAAAAAGAAGAAGAAGGAGAAAAAAAAAAAAGCCAAGAGCTGGGAGCTGCTGTCAAGCCAGTAAAACTCGACATGGAGCAGACTAATGGAATATCCAGTCCCCATTAACAGGCTGCTTAATCTTTCAAGGATCCTAACACCCATAAAAAGGCCAATAAAAAGGCAGGGCAGAGCTTTTATTTTTTTTTATTTGTTGAGCTCCCCCCACCCTTCCTCCCTGCATTTATTAGTCAACTGGGGCTAGCTAAGATGTCACGATTTTCAAATGAATTCTGGAGTCCAGGCGTATATAGACCTCCCGATTTATAGAGGTTTGGGACTTGGATTAAACTGTCAGCCTGTTTTTTTTCTTTTTGTTATTTTTTGTTTGCTGCAAGCAAGCAAGAAAGAAAAAAAAAACAAGAAGAAGAGGGAAAAGGAAGACTCGAGGCAAAGACAGAGAGACAAGCATCCACACACAAACCACAAATATCCAGTCGAAATGTCGCCGCCGGGTGATGTTGCCTTGGCAACCGGTTCTCTTCTCAGACACAATGCGAGGCGAACGATCCTGAAAAACGTCTCGGTACAAGCGCCATGAGATGGAAGGGGGCTTCTCATATTAATGCCGCTGCGCCAGGGCCACAGCGAGCGCCAGGTTATCTTAATGATGATGCTAATGGGCTCTAATGGAAGCTGGGAGGTATCGGCGCAGACCCCTCATTAAAATCGCTGCAAAAAGCTCCGGCACTCGCGCACACGGACATATGAATACGACAAAAGACGGACACCGGTGTTTTCACTCTTGGCACAGGCAGACGCAAACAAATTAAGCCCAGACATCTTTATTTTACTGGAGCACATCAGAAAGCGAAAAAGGAGACACCAATTGTCAGAAAGAAGCAAAACAATGCTTCTTTCTGACAATCATTGAAATTGTCTATGTGCTTCTGAACCGACGATGACATCAACAAGGTTTTCTGGTGTCTGAGTATAGATGTGCGTAATTGCTACTACTACAACAGAGAGAATTAAAATACCCTTACTTTTTAAAATGTAACTTAATACCGTCTTTCTTCTCTCAGCTGCTATTTCTGTATATCAAACCATCCTGTTTCTTCAAAAGCACAAAATCGAATCAGCCTGTTTTACACTTCACTGGCACCGTTTGATGGCTGCCTGGTCAGGAACTACAAATCTCATGTTTTTCCACATCAATAAGGACAAAATACTTAATTTGTGCTGAGAATAACAACACTCTTTAGTGTGGGTGTTGTAGCTAGGGGAAGGAGTGCATCGTTGAGGCATTTAAAAAAAAATACAGGTAAAAATAGCAGAAAAGCTGCATCAAGCTTCCAGGAATCTGTAACTTTCACAAGACATGCCACGCGCTCACACGGAAGTTGTATTTCCAGATTTTCCTATCAGAAAAACAACAACACCCTCTGAAGCTGGAATGAGGACTGGAGAAGACGGAGCAACACCAAGTTTAGCATCCAACATGGCTGCCAGGCATATTTAATCAAATTTATAAAATGATTCCTGCTGGAACTCAACTGCTTTGGGACTCCAGTGTGATTCTCAACATTGGACTTCATATTACAAAGTTGGCAATCTATCCAAGTCTCACTATTAAGATAAGGATATAATTACATTTACGCACTTATATACTTGTTAGAGCTAACCACTAATAGCTCTGCTCATCCTAATCCCTAAGGCGGTTATATGTGTCTTAAATCTTCAGTCTATATCATGATGTCTGGCGAAAAATTAATAAATCACCTGCTCTCTTTCACAAAGTGTAAAGTGTGTGAAAGAGAGCTTTTTGGAATGCAGGTGTTAAGTTATTTCTACATAAGTTTGCAGGTAAAAAATTTTATATTCTGTGATATGATGCATAGAACTGATATTTTACAGTATTTTTATATTTTCAATGAAGCACTGATACGCAGTAACTGTGCTGTTTTGAAGGATAATTGATTGTTTTAACCAGAAGAATTTTATCGGTAAGACAGTTAAATTTTCAATTCATTCATAATGTTGAAAATCGTATCGTATTAATAACTAGATGTTTTGAAAATGAATTAGAATCAGGTAAAGGCAGGAGCTTTAAAAAAAAAAAACAGAAATGGAAACTGGCCACAAACTCATCTTAACTCAGGATTCACCCACTTTCAGCTTTTCTTTTTTTTTTCTTGTCTGGACATAAAACAAATGCTGCCTTCAATCTCCTGCTGAGAAAGACAGTAGGACATCCACGGGAAGTCCTGTGTAACAAATGCCTTACGAGTGTGTGTATGAAAAAAAAAAAAAAAAACGGTGTCGAAAAATCCTGCCTGCAGACTTGAGCAGATGGTGTTAGTG